TAGTGTTAGGACAAAAAGGGGGGAATGAGGCAAGAAGAAGAGAGTGGGAAAAAAAAATTTGGGATAAAATTTGTGGGAGTTATTTTATCCATGGGAGTTATTTTTTACTCCCGTAATGTTTGATAACAGTTTTAAAAGTAAAATACCAGTTTTAATAATATGAAAAAGCACTTTGAATGCATCTGTAATTGTGTAATGTTAAGTCTGCTGGAATTTTGGCATTGACCTACAAAACTACAGGCAACCCTCACCATATATGGGGGATACGTTTTTGACATCTCTGTGAATGACGAAATCCATGAATATGGCACTGTGTTCATAAACGTCATGATGAACACGGTGCCCCTGGTGGCTGGGGGGCATGGCTGCTCTGGTGGTGGTGAGAGCCCAGCAGCAGAAAGCGCAGAGCTCCCGACGAGCTCCTGTAAGTGTATTTAAGATGTGGGTTCGGCATTTGCGAATGGTTGAAACCATGAATAACGAACCTGCAAATAGCGAGGGTTTCCTGTACTGCTATCTAAAAATGCATGTAAATACTGGCATTTTCTTAACTGGGGACACAGGTTGCATGTACCAAATAATGAAATGCAACCCTTTTTTAAGAGTTCCTGTTCTGTACAGTTGTTGGAGACCTATGAGAATAACATTGCAAACCTGTCATTTAAATGTGTTAAAGTCCCAATCCATCTTGCATTAAAGTAAATGGAGGACTTCAGTTGTCCAGTGGAGTCAATTTATATGCTCCTAAATAGGTTGTTACTTAATGATATTCAGGGTTATATTTCATTTAAGTGGTGTTAACATTTAAGTGCTCACATTTTGATACAGTTCCAAATATCATAAAATGAACTCCCTCGCATTACAAGTGTCTGTGTTGTGGAGGAGACATGGGGGTTGTTTAGGTTTGTTTTAAGATTATTCACCTAATCAGTTTTGTTCCTGGAATGAACCAATCTACAAATGATTATATGAAAGTGGTGTTTCTACTGTGTTAAATTTCCTTTCAGATACAATTTTAAAACATCTCTCTCCCTTAATTCTGTCCCTAACTGAGGCCTGGCTTGTGCTGTCTAGTTCTTGTCCAAATAACTAGTTCTTGGCCAAATCCCAGAGCCCGCTTCCTGAATCCTTAATTTTCTGACTCTTTTTATATAATTATTCATCTCCTTCTCCAAAATATTGTTTTACCTTCTCTACCTTTATTACTTGATAACTGGATCCAGTTATGGTTTCAACTTCCACCTTTGCCAATTGATCTTGCGCTCTCTCTCTCTCTCTCTCTCAGTATTCCAATCTTATACGTCAATTTTTTGGTGTCTCCAGTTAATTTTACCTTACAAACTGAATAAAGTCAAAACTGAGATGCTACTTCTTTTTGTTACCTCAGTCTGAGGTCTGTCTTCACTGTTCTCTCCTTGTCTTTCTCTTCCACTGTTCATGACATCATCAGTATTACATGCTTAGATCATTTAGGCTTGTATGCTGGGCATCATCTTTGACCTAGCTGTGTTCCTAAATCATATTTAAATAATTATAATGAGCAGCAGTCCTCTGAATTCATCTTCTTATTCTTTTCTAGTGCTCTAATTTTCTTGTTGAAGGCTTTAGGACACGATTCCATGCATATAAGTGGTATAAGATAAAGCCTTGATCCTGGGAAGGAATGAGTACCCTTTTAAAGACCACCTGTACCAGATGTGTTAAACAGCAGTTGTACTTGGGTCTAAAAAGTAAAATCTACCTTCAAACGCTAACAGGATTTTTCCTATTGTCAAGGGGACTACTTACCTGAACAGGACTATACTCTTCTGGTCATTTTAAAATTATATTCTAAATAAGCAGTGAGTACATAATATCTGCTGATGTCCCCCCATTCCCTAGCTCATCAAGCTGATAAAAAGGTACGTTTTAAAAAAATGTGTAAGGAATATGTTTTTTCTCAACTCTATCTCAGATTAATAACTTCTAGAGTTTTTTAAACAGGTACTTTTCTCACGTACCAGAAAAATATAGTGGGGGAGTATTATGGTTAATCTAAACCATTTAAAAGCTAAATAACTACCTGCCTTTCACTGTTCTCAGCCTGTTTTGCTGTATTGTTCAAAGATACCTTAGTCATGGTTGATTTGTCAGGGGTAGCATATGCATCTGTGCTTTACTGAGCAGCAGAGCCTAGTGCTTAAAAGTAGACTGCCCTTCACCTACCCTGCATCACCTTCCCCAAAAAACCTAGGAAAACGGTCCTAGCCAGGGAGTTGATGTTCATATAGTTGGATGGGGAATATTAAGCACCTTTTTATTATCCCTTAAGTTGGGGTGTCAAACTTATCTGGTCCCATGGGCCAGATGAGTGTTCCTGGGCTAGTCTGGAGGCCAGATTGAGACCAAGCCCTTGTGAGGCAGCTGCGATGCCAGGTCCAGCCTGGCACTGCAGGTAGTATAGAGGCTTAGTCCAGGGCACCGCATGCAGCCTGTGCCCCTGACCTCCTTGACCATGTGCAGCTTCAGGTTCATTCCACACCCCGCAGGCAGCACATGCCCTGTGCCAGCCTTCTGCACGGTGTGCAGTACTCATGGTTTGTCTTTCCCACATGCCATGTACAGCATGCACTAGCCATGAGGCTCACTGTACACAGTGCGCTGTCTGGTCCCTGCACTTCATGCCAGGGGATCTGGCACGTGGGCTGCATGCAGTGCCCAGACCAACTTCTTGTGCTGCCTGCAGCATGCATGATGTGGGGTCCAGCCCTTGCACTGCACGCTGAGCATGGAGCCATTCGACACATGGGCTTGGTCCGGTGACCTGTAGGCTGAATCGAACAGTTCCATGAGCTGGATCTGGCCTTCAGGCCATACATTTGATACTCCTGCTTGAAAAATAAAATAATCTGCGAAGAAGGATTATTAAGGAAAAAAGTGAAGACAATATTTAATAGTCATCAAGCTTAAAAAAAATAACACCTAAACAAGTAATCTGTGAATGACACATTTCACAGTCTAGTAAAATATAGGGTGCGGACCTTTTTGTCTTGGCTGTCATTATCCTCCAAATACAGAAAACAGATCCACATTAAATCTTGACTGTGGCTGAGGGATACAGATCCCAAACCAAAAGAATGCCCAGAGTCATATGAAAAGTAAGATTCAATATTTGCTATTAAAGTTTAATGTCTGCTTAAAACCCAGAGGGGAACTAAGAGTTTGGTATATTCTAACTAAGAGTCAGAATAAGAGCTGTGGATAACAAAATCTGTAGTAATTGTTATCATCATTGTGCTGGATTCTGTTTAAATAAAACTCTGTAATTTTGTTTCAATCTGCCATTTTTAAGAACTTGAATACATGCATGTAAAAATGAAGTTGAGTTTAACTGAAATGTATACAGAATAAAAATGAAACTATCAGAAAAATATACTTGTGTTATTTGCCAGTGAGAGAGTTGCTTTGGATTACAATTTCAATGAAGATTGACATAGGCAGCGATTTGGCAGATCAACAAAATCAGTTTCTTCCAATAAAATTGAAATAGTATCATTTGTGATTCTTTGGGATAGTCTCTATTGGAGCAGGCTTTATAATAAATGCAGGTTTCATGGTATGAAATATACATATTTTTGACCTGCAGAAATCTTTCAAAAGAAAAGGGGTGTGTGTGTGTGTGTGTGTGTGTGTGTGTGTGTGTAAGGGCCCTCAGTTATTCAGCTTAGCCAATGCCTTATAGATCCTAAAGGGTGGATCTTGGGGGCAGGTGGGGAGGGTGCAGTGGTGTGGACACACTCCTCTTTCAGTCAACTATGCCCTGGGAGCAGCAGCTGAGGATTTTTTTCTCCCTGTTCCCTGGAAGAAGTAAGAACAGCTGCAACCCTTCCTCTCTGTCCTTAGGGTCACCTCCCCTCCCTGTCCTCCCACCTCTCTCTTGTCCACCAGTGCCACTGTTATTATCTCTTGCTGTCTAGGGCCTCTGTTGTGCCCACTCCAGCCATGCTCTGTATGGAGCTGGGCTCATCTGCAGACAGAGGCAGCAGTGGGCGGGTTCTTCCTTCCTACCCTGGCAGTCTGGGAGCAGGCATGGGAGAAGAGAACTTGCCTGTTGCCACTGCCATTTCTAACTGAGCCTAGCTCCATGTGCAGCCCAGCTAGAATGAGGTAGTAGTGGCTCTGAAACCCTCAGATCCTCCATCCCCAGTTCAGCTGGTGCAGTAGCAGTGGGAGGAAATGGGAAGGGGAGAGAACATGCCACTGAGTATGGAGGGCAGGGGAGGAAAATGTTTACCTGCTTGAAGGACTGTCTGATTTCCCCCCACTACTGCTAGTGCCAGCCCTGGTGAGGGGTATGGGTTGATTGGGGCTGCAGCCACCCCTGCAGCAAAGCTTGAGGCTCCAGACTCCCACTGTCCAAAGTCCTGGATCTGCCCAAGTGGATCCTTTTACGTTCAAGAAAGGAGTTAAATCCATCACTGGTCCTTTTTAACTATTTGGTACCACGTAAAGTATGTACAGTAAGTTGGTTGTTTTTCAGTAACCCTGAAATGCCATATGTTTTATGATTCACAACCACTGCCTTAGTTGACATTAATTGGTTTTCTTGTTTGTACTTTTAGCAGTTGGACTGACAAGACACAAGAAGTGACTTTGTATACGTAGATGTACACATACACACACAATGTTGTTTCTTGCAGTTGATGAACTAATTATGTGGCTTAATATAGGACTTCAGGTTCTCAAGGTTGTTAGCCACATGTCTATTTGCATGAAATTTAGTTCAAGTATTAAAAAAAAAAAAAAAAAAAAAAAAGACACTGTCCTCAGTTATGTAGGTTCAACAATCTCTTGATTGCCTTAGAAGTACTGTAATGTTTTCTTTTCATGTAGGCATTAAAAATGCAAAGAAACACAGACAGAAAAATTGCATCAGTTGTCACCATATTATTATTTTTTTCTCTGTCTCTAGTCAGATAACATACGGCATGATTATTTGGTCTCCTTTTTTGCACTTGCAGGCGGTTTGACAGATCTGTGGAGAAATGGCGGCTTTTCCACCATGACATGAAGAGCTTTAGTCAGTGGCTTACTGAAACGGAGCAGAATCTGGCTAGAACCCAAATACATCCCGGGGACCTGGCTTCTGCTGAAACCAAGCAGTATCTCAAGGTATGTTTGAAATGATCCATTTTTATTTTCATTATCTCTCTGGCTTTCTCAGTTTCACCCCTGATTGCACACACTTTTTTGTGGTGATGTGTTGATATGCATTGTACTGAGCTTTACAGTTCACATTAATTGTATTTCTGGAGTTGAATGTTTGGTATGTTTTGTAAGAATTTTCAAGTGTTTAGTGTTTCAACCTTCTATCTCCAACAATTATTATATTTCCAGGATACTGTCTGGATATACATTTGGAAAGAAAAAAAAAAACTAGCCAGCCTCAGAGTAGGGTGAAATTTGAGAAATGGTTAAAACTTGATCTGGTATGTATTAGTACACGCTACCTGTTAAACTACCCTGGAG